TGCCTCAGCCTCCCGAGTAGCTGGGATTATATGCATGCGCCACCACACCAAGCTAATTTTTGTATTTTTAGTAGAGACAGGGTTTCACCATGTTGGCCAGGCTGGTCTTGAACACCTGACCCCAGGTGGTCTGCCCACCTCGGCCTTCCAAAGTACTGGGATTTTAGGCATGAGCCACCGCACCCAGCCCCCATTCTTTCTACCCAGTTCCCACTTACTTATTTAAGTAACCAGTCTTGTTTCTTGTTTGATTTTATGATTAAATAAATGTAACATAAAATTTACCATTTTAGGGTGCAGTGGCTCACTCCTGTAATCCCAGCAGTTTGCGTAGAGGTGGGAGAATCGTTTGAGCCCAGGAATTTGAGACGAGCCTGGGGTTTTTCTACAAAAAAATTAAAAACCAGCCAGATGTTTTGGAACATGCCTGTAGTCCCAAATATTTGGAAGGCTGAGGTAGCAGGATCTCTTGAGTCTGGGAGGTCAAGGTTGCAGTGAGCTGTGATCATGCTACTGCACTCCAGCCTAAGTTACAGAATGAGACCCTGTCTCAAAAAACTAAATAAAAATAAAAACACTGGGAAAAGTGTTTTTAGTTAGAGTTTTTACTCAGAGTGGTTGCTTTTTCAGGAAGAGATTACTAAGATTAAGATGAAGATTCCTATACCTGTCTAGCTCCCATAACTTGGCCAGCTTCTCCCAGGCCCTTGTGTTGTGGTATCCCAGGCCCTAAAGAAGATCTGTGAATGCAGACAGGGAACATTTAGAGAGAGAGCTTCAAGTTTTACTAGGGGTTGTAGAGATAGCTCAACTTTCCGGAAGGATTTGTACAAAGTTTTGATGTTAGAGATCTAAAACAGCATGGTTTTGCTGGGTCGAAATCAACTTGTAGGCTGGGCAGAGTGGCTCACACCTGCAATCCCAGCACTTTAGGAGGCTGAGGTGGGAGGATCACTTAAGGCAAGAAGTTCAAGACCAGCCTGAGCAACATATCAAGACCCTGTCGTTACAAAAAATTTTTAAATTAGCCAGGTGGGCTGGGTGTGGTGGCTCATGCCTGTGATCTCAGCACTTTGGGAAGCCACGGCAGGCAGATCGTGAGGTGAAGCAATCGAGACCATTCTGGCCAACTAAAAATACAAAAAAAAATTGGCAGGTGTGGTGGTGTACACCTGTAGTCCCAGCTACTCGGGAGGCTGAGGCAGGAGAATTGCTTCAACCCAGGAGGCAGAGGTTGCAGTGAGCCAAGATCGTGCCACTGCACTCCAGCCTGGTGACAGAGGAGACTCTGTCTCAAAAAAACAAAACTAGCCAGGTGTAGTGGTGTACATTGTGGTCTCAGCTACTTGGGAGGCTGAAGCAGGAGAATCACCTTAGCCCAGGAGGTTGAGGCTGTGATCACACCACTGCCCTCCAGCTTGGGTAAGAGTGAAATCCTGTCTCAAAAAAAAAAAAAAAAAAAAAAATCCTGTAACTCATAATCTGAATTTTGTTTCACAATGTGGATATGCAAACAATCCCTTTGAGACGTATAGAGCTGGAATTGGACAGCTCTGCTGTTATTTCTGAAGCTTCCACTTTTTAAAAATTGCTCTTTCTCGTATTGACCAAGTGTCTGAGTCTGAATTTTTATGTAGTCAAAGTATAGCCTGACTGGCGTACTGGTTAGAACAGGCTAAGTTATGCTGTGGTGGCAAACAACCCCTGCAAGTGAGTGGCTTACAGAATAACATTGTATTTCTACTCATGTACATGTCTACTGTGGATCAGCAGAAACAGGGTTCCATACCAAAGAAGGCCCCACCACCCTCTGGCTGTGCCATCTTAAACACAGATGGTCACCACATCCACGAAGAGGAAGATTGGAGAATTGTGCAGTATTTCTGGTGTCAGCTGAGTGACAGTCATCACCTCAGCTGAGATTCATTGGCTAAAAGCAGTGCATGGCCCTGCCTAAGTGCAAAGGACTGGAAAATGTAATCTTCTATGTGCCCAAAACTGGATAATGGTGAAACAGTAGTAATGTCTACCACACTGGCTAAGATCCATTTCTTTTTCTGTATTTAGGAAGTTGCTTCTGTAAATTAGATGTGATTTCTTTTTGGAGCAAGGAGGACATCCCTGGACTGTGGATAGAGGGTTGACAAGGAGCCTGTGCACAAGCCAGCGAGGGGACTGAGGAAGCCTTTCAGATGAAAGGTCACCTCTGCGTAAGGCCAGGACATGCTGCTTAAAGGCTTTAGCACAGAGAAAATCAAGCTCCCCTTCAATATGCAGGTTCCCAAAGGTGCCTCACTGCCACTCATGAATCACTCCATTCATAGCTCCTTTTATAATCCACTCCCCCATCGAGGAGAATTAATTATATTATTTATCATTATAGAATATATGCTTGCTGGGTACAGTGTGGCTCATGCCTGTAATCCCAACACCTTGGGAGGCCGAGGTGGGTGGATCACTTGAAGCCAGCAGTTCGAGACCAGCCCGGCCAAAATGCTGAAACCCCGTCTCTACTAAAACTACAAAAATTAGTCAGGCATGCTGGTATGCACCTGTAATCCCAGCTACTCCGGAGGCAGAGGCAGGAGAATTGCTTGAACCTGGGAGGTGGAGGTTGCAGTGAGCTGAGATCACGCCACTGCACTCCAGCAAAGTGAGACCCGGTTTCAAACACACACGTGCATCCACATATGTGCGCACTTTAGGGAAAAACTTAAATATACAGAAAAAAAAGAAAGATCCCCCATAATCATATCGCATAGAGACAAATATACAAATTTAATTGAAAATCCTTTTAGTCCATCTTCTATGCTGCATACACACAAGCATACATGTGTAAATATGTATATTTTTCTTGTCAGTATAGGATTACACTACACTTGCTATTTTGTAACCTACATTTTTCACCTAATGTTATTTGTTTTACATTGTTATATCAACAAAGATATGTAGGCCGGGTGCGGTGGCTCACACCTGTAATCCCAGCACTTTGGGAGGCCAAGGCAGGCAAATCATGAGGTTAGGAGTTTGAGACCAGCCTGGCCAACATGGTGAAACCCTGTCTCTAATAAAAATACAAAAATTAGCCAGGTGTGGTGGTACATGTCTGTAATCCTAATTACTTAGGAGGCTGAGGCAGGAGAATTGCTTGAACCCAGGAGGCAGAGGTTGCAGTGAGCTGAGATCATGCCATTGCACTCCAGCCTGGGTGACAGAGTGAGACTCTGTCTCAAAAAAAACACAAAAAACAAAACTCTGACTTATTCCCTTGAGATGCGGACCATTCACAGGACTCCAGACTCAGCAAGTGCTAGCCTTACAGTCAGTGGGGAAGCGATGTTCTGCAGGAAAACAGTAGATGGTCAGAAGGTAGTGAGTTATCTCCATTGATTGTTCACAGTGAGTTATGGATTGAATTCCTTGTTCTATTCTTCCCCCTCGTTTTAGTACTGTACTCGTCTAGTCTTAAAAAAAATAAAGAAAGCAGTAGGGAGGGCTCAGATGAGAAATAAGGAGTGCTGGCCCAAGAGGCTTCTAGAAACTGAGTTCCCTTTGAAGGCAGCACTCTGGATGTGCAGGTATGTGAGCAAGATGCCTGTATTACTGGGGCTGGAGGCATGACAGAGCCTATGGTATGCATGGTGTAGCCCCATTTTGGACTTGGAAGGAAGAAGTAGAGCCAGTGACATGCCCAGGAGGTTTGCCTATTGAGCCTAGAGAAGCTAGAAGACTTCATTTAGGGATGTCTTACTCAAGGTTCGGCCTGCATAGATGGTCTGTGTTCCTAGCCTGACGGTACTGTCCTCATCCTTAGGGGTCAAGTGGGTAAGTCTCAGTGGTAAGATCCTCGTTGGTTAGCATCAACAAAATGGGGGACCGTGTCAGCCGTAATCCCTTCCTCGGTGGTGCCTGGGTTCTCTGTCAGTGCTGGAGCACATCTGCCTTGAAACCATCTTGCTGCAGGCTGGGCGGGGTGGCTAACACTTGTAATCCCAGTACTTTGGGAAGCCGAGATGGGTGGATCACCTGAGGTCAGGAGTTCGAGACCAGCTTAACCAACATGGAGAAACCCCATCTCTATTAAAAATATAAAATTAGCCGGGCATGGTGGTCCATGCCTGTAATTCCAGCTACTCAGGAGGCTGAGGCAGGAGAATCACTTGAACCCGAGAAGCAGAGGTTGTGGTGAGCTGATATTGTACTATTACACTCCAGCCTGGGCAACAAGAGTGAAACGCCGTCTCAAAAAAAAAAAAGACAAAGAAAAGAAACCATCTTGCCCCTTTTGAGTTCCTTACTGTTTAGGAAGGGACTGGGTTTTGTTAACTCTGAGGTTTGTATTTCTGGTTTTGCTTGTTTTTTTTTTTTTTTTTATTAAACCGAGTGTCACTCTGTCACCCAGGCTGGAATGCAGTAGCATGATCTCAGCTCACTGCAACCTCCACCTTTCAGGTTCAAGCAATTCTCGTGCCTCTGACTCCCAAAGTGCTGGGATTACAGGCATGAGTCACCACACCCAGCTAACTCTATACGTTTTTTTTTTTTTTTTAGAGACAGAGTCATGCCCTGTCACCCAGGCTGGAGTGCATTACTGCAATCTCGGTTCACTGAAACCTCTGCCTCCTGGGTTCAAATGATTCTTCTGCATCAGCCTCCCGAGTAGCTGGGATTGCAAGTGCCCACCACCATGCCCAGCTTATTTTTGTATTTTTATTAGAGACAGGGTTTCGCCATGTTAGCCAGGCTGGTCTTGAACTCATGATCTCATGATCCTCCTGCCTCAGCCTCCCAAAGTACTGAGATTACAGGCGTGAGTCACTGCACCCAGCCAATTTTGTAGTTCTTAATGTTATTTCTTGTGTGGAAGGACATGGAGAGGGTGGGAGAAGCAGTTTTGAGACATTGGAAGTACAGTTCTTTTAAGCTCCTCTATTTGGGAGTGCTGAGGCAAGCTCGGTTTATCAGAGGTTACTCCATCTCCCCCCATTCTGCTTTTACAGGACTCTGTACTTGTCCAAGAGAAGAATTCAGAGAAATCAGAGCAGGTCAAATAGTTCTAAAAGCCATGGCTCAGGTATGTTGAAATTTCTTCTATCCTTAGAATAATCTGTCTTCCCCCCAGATTATATAAACATTTGTGCTCTTTTTCCTGAAACTTCCCTGTATCCTTCTCACAGTACATCCATTCCAGGAGATGAGTGATGGTGCCCACGTCCCTTGGTGGCCCTCTCCTCTCCGGCATTGTCCACGTGTCTGTAGTGCTCTTAGCAGAGCATAGGCTGGGTGTGGTGACTCACGCTTGTAATCCCAGCACTTTGGGATGCTGAGGCGGGCGGATTGCTTGAGGCCTGGAGTTCGAGATCAGCCTGGCCGACATGGTGAAACCCCATCTCTACTAAAAATATAAAAAATTAGCCGGGCATGGTGGTGCATGCCTGTAGTCCCAGCTACTCGGGAGGCTGAGACAGGAGAATCGCTTGAGCCCAGGAGACGGAGGTTGTAGTTATCCAAGATTGCCCCACTGCACTCCACTCTGGGCGGCAGAATGAGACTCCATCTCAAATAAGTAAATAAATAAATAAATGCTCTTAGCAGAGCACCGGTACAGTAGAAATACCTTCTCTTGAGAGAAATATGAGAGTCCTCCTTATCATCACTGTGGTTGAATGGGGCCAAAGATGAAATAAAATAGTTTTGTCTTTTTCATTGTCTTGGGTGGTTTCTTTCTTCTATGTTTTTGTTTCATTTTGTTTTTTTCAGAAAGAGTATCACTCTGTCACCCAGACTAGAGCACAGTGTCACAATTATGGCTCAGTGCAGCCTCAACCTCCCGGGTTGAAGCAATCCTCCTGCCTCAGCCTCCCAAATAGCTAGGACCACAGCCACATGCCACTACTCCCAGCTAATTTTTTAATTTTTTGTAGAGACAGTGTCTCGCTTTCTCCTGGGCTCAAGGAGTCCTCCAACCTCAGCCTCCTAGTACTGGAATTACAGGCATGAGCCACCGAATTTGGCCTCTTTATGCTATTTTTAAATGTCACTCCCTCTTTAAAAAAATCACAGAACATTTAATACTGTCAAAATATCTATCTATACATAGATAGATTAGATAGATAGTTGGATGGATGGATGGATAGATAGATAGATAGATGGATGGATAGATAGATAGATAGATAGATAGACAGATAGATAGATAGATAGATAGATAGATGGATAGTTATAATGGACTGGACACAGTGGTGGCAGGTGCCTATAATCCCAGATACTCAAGAGGCTGAGGTAGTAGAATCGCTTGAACCTGGGAGGCTGAGGTTGTAATGAGCAGATATCATGCCACTGTACTCCAGCCTGAGCAACAGAGCAAGACTCTGTCTCAAAAAATATATATGAGTAGATAGATAGATGTATAAACATATCTATAACATATATTTGGCATAAAGAATAATCAAATGAATACTATCTTAATCCATTTTTGTGTTGATATAAAGGAATACCTGAGGCTAGGTAATTTATTAAAACAAAAAAAAAAAAGGTTGAGGCCTTTGAGGGTGCAGTGGCTACGCCTGTAGTCCTAGTAATTTGGCAGGCTGAGGTGGGCAGATCACTTCAGTCCAGGAGTTTCAGACCAGCCTGGCAACATAGCAAAACCTCATCTCTACAAAAAATGTAAATATTAGCCAGGCGTGGTGGCAGATGGCTGTAGTCCCAGCTGCTCAGGAGGCTGAGGTTGCAGCAAGCTGAGATTGTGCCACTGCACTCCGGCCTGGGTGACAGTAAAACCTTGTCTCAAAAAAAAAAAAAAAAAAAAATGGAAAAAGAGAAAGAAAAATAACTGGTTTATTTGGCTCACAGTTCTGATGGCTGGAAAGTTTGAGATCAGGTGTCTGGTGAAGGCCTCAGGCTGCCTCCACTCATGGTGGAAGGCAGAGGTTGCAGTGAGCTGAGATCTCGCCACTGCACTCCATCCTGGGCGAAAGAGCAAAACTCCGTCTCAAAAAAAAAAAAATAGAAAATATATTCTTTGGGGGGAATATACATAAGGGGAAGCCCATATGTACATCACATGGCAAGAGGGGAAGCAAGACAGAGAGAAGGAAGGTGCCAGGCTCTTTTCACAACCAGCTCTCATGAGAACCAACAGAGTGAGAAGCTACCTCCCAGGAGGGCATTAATCTATTCATGATGGATCCACTCCCACAACCCAAATACCTCTCGCTCGGCCCCACCTCCAGCACTGGGCATCAGAGTTCAACATGCAGTTTGGAGGGGCAAACATCTAAACCATAGCAAGTTTCAATATATTCATCACCCAGATTAAGATATCACCCAAGCAACCTGCATCCCCTTTCCTGACAATATCCCTTCCCATATCCCATTCTCATTCCCACCAATGGTTATGATGCTTTCAATTTTGTGTTTATCCATCCTTTGGCTTCTATAATACTTTTGCCATATATGACTGCATACTAAGAAATATTACTGGGGTTTTTTTTTTTCGAGATGGAATGCAGTGGTGCAATCTCAGCTCACTGCGACCTCCCAGGTTCAAACGATTCTTCTACCTCAGCCTCCTGAGTAGCAGGAATTACAGGTGCCCACCACCATGCCTAGCTAACTTCTTTGTATTTTTAGTAGAGACAGGGTTTTACCATGTTGGCCAGACTGGTCTTGAACTCCTGACCTCAGGTGATCCATCCACCTTTGTCTTCCAAAGTGCTGGGATTACAGGCGTAAGCTACCACGCCTGGCCTGTGACAAAATTTTTGCACTCCACACAATATATTTTCCTTTTTTTTTTTTTTAGAGACATAGTTTTGCTCCTTTGCCCAGGCTGGAGTACAGGGCGTGATCTTGGCTCACAGCAGCCTCTACCTTCCAGTTTCAGGCGATTCTCCTGCCTCAGCCGTCCCAAGTGGTGGGATTATAGGCACCCACTACCACGCTCAGCTAATTTTTGTATTTTTAGTAGAGACAGTAATTCACCATGTTGGCCAGACTGGTATCAAACTCCTGACCTCGTGATCTGCCTGCCTTGGCCTCCCAAGTGCTGGGATTACAGGCATGAGCCACAGCACCCAGCCTCACACAATATATTTTCAAATAATTCATGTTACATTGTGTGCACTAGATCAGCAGTTCTCAAAGTCTAGTCCAGGACCTTGAGCCCCTTTAAAAGGTCTGCAAGGTCAAAATCATTATTAGTATTGTTATTTAAAGTAAACAGAGATGAAGTCTCGCTATGTTGACCAGGCTGGTCTCAAACTCCTGGCCTCAAGCAATCCTCTCATCTCAGCCTCCCAAAATGCTGGGATTACTGGCATCAGCCACCACGTCCAGGCCATTATTATTATCATTATTATTTTTTGAGATGGGGTTTCGCTCGTTACCCAGGCTGGAGTGCAATGGTGCAATCTCGGCTCACCGCAACCTCCACCTCCTGGGTTCAGTCAATTCTCCTGCCTCAGCCTCCCAAGTAGCTGGGATTACAGGTGTGCACCACCATGCCCAGCTAATTTTTGTATTTTTAGTAGAGACGGGGTTTCACCATGTTGACCAGGATGATCTCGATCTCTTGACCTCGTGATCCAACCGCCTCGGCCTCCCAAAGTGCTGGGATTACAGGCGTGAGCCACCACACCTGGCCCTTATTATTTTTAATAGAGGCAGAGTCTTGCTCTGTTTCCCAGGCTGGAGTGCAGTAGCACGATCACAGCTCACCGCAGCCTTGAACTCCCAGACTCAAGTGATCCTCCCACCTCAGCCTCCTGAGTAGCTGGGACGACAGGCATGCACCACCAGACCCATATCATTTTTAAATTTTTAAATTTTAATGTGTATGTGTGTGTGTGTGTGTGTGTGTGTGTGTGTGCATAAAAACCTCAAATCCTCAATCCTGCAACCTCAAATCCTGTAATCCCAGCACTTTGGGAGGCCAAGGCAGGCAGATCACCTGAGGTCAGAGTTTGAGACCAGCCTGGCCAACATGGTGAAACCCCATCTCTACTAAAAATAGAAAAATTAGCCAGGCATGGTGGCACATGTCTGTAATTCCAGTTGCTCAGGAGGCCAAGACACAAGAAGCGCTTGAATCTGGGAGGCAGAGGTTTCAGTGAACCAAGATTGTGTCAGTGCACTCCAGACTGGCTGACAGAATGAGACTCTGTCTCAAAAATAATAATAATAATAGTAATAAATTTAAATTTATCTGATCTCAAGTGATCTGCCTGACTTGGTCCCCCAAAGTGCTGGTATGAGAGGCCAGCATACCAGCTGGTGTGCCACCATGCCCAGCCAAAACGTGCATTTTAAAATAAAGAGTATAAGGCCGGGCGCGATGGCTCACGCCTATAGTCCCAGCACTTTGGGAGGCCGAGGCGGTTGGATCACGAGGTCAAGAGATCGAGACCATCCTGGTCAACAAGGTGAAACCCCGTCTCTACTAAAAATACAAAAATTACCTGGGCATGGTGGTGCGCGCCATAGTCCCAACTACTCAGGAGGCTGAGGCAGGAGAATTGCTTGAACCCAGAAGGCGGAGGTTGCAATGAGCTGTGATCATGCCGTTGCACTCCAGTCTGGGTAACAACAGCGAAACTCTAAATAAAATAAAATAAAATAAAGAGTATAATTAGATTTTTTATAACTTGAAAGGATAAATGCTTGAGGGGTTGGATACCCCATTCTCTGTGATGTGCTTATTTCACACAGCATGCCTGTATCACAACTTCTCATGTACACCATAAATGTATACACCTACTATGTACCAACAAAAATTAAAAATTAAGAAAAATTTTAAAACACAGGATATATAAAATCTTCAGGGGTTATTATATGCTTGTTAATATTCATATTTCTTTACTATCCACTTCTCCTTGTTCCTCACATCAGAAAGCCGATGGAGGGTATACCTGAGTTGCATAAATGTGGCCCACAACCAACACATATGTTCAGCCTCAAAATGGACCATTTTATAAGGTTATTCATGACATACATTTCCTTGCAAGACTGAAGAGTATTCCATCACTAAAATTCCCAATCACACCCACCTTCCTAAAAGTCTCACAAAAGAGATGTTACTGCATATAGAGACCAATACCAATCACTACAGCTCCTACCATGTCAACGTGGAGAGAGAAGGCTGTGGGCTTCTATTGCAAACACCTTGATGTTGGGTAAAACATAACACCCTTTTAAATGAATGAATCTCTCTCTCTCCTTCCTTCCTTCCTTCCTTCCTCTCTTTTTCTTTCTCTTTTTTCTCTCTGTCTCTCTTTCTTTTTCCTTCTCTTTTTTTTTTTTTTTTTTTTTTTTTTAGACAGGGTCTTTACTCTATCACCCAGATTGGAGTGCAGTTGTGTGATCTCGGCTCACTGCAATCTCTGCTTCCTAGGCTCGAGATTCCCCTGCCTGGGCCTCTGAGTAGCTGGGACCACAGGTGGCACGCCACTGCACCCGGCTAAATTTCATTTTTTTTTTGTAGATATGGGGTTTTACCATGTTGTGCAGCCTGGTTTCGTACTCCCAAGCTCAGGTGACTCACCCACCTTGGCATCCGAAAGTGCTGGGATTACAGGGATGAGCCACCATACCCAACTTTGTGTTTCTAAATTTAAATTTAAATTTTTGTTTGTAGAGATGGGGTCTCACTACATTGCCCTGGCTGGTCTTGAACTCCTGGTCTCAAGCGATCTTCCTATCTTAGCCTCCCAAAATGTTAAAATTATAGGATTAGCCACTGTGCCTGGCCAGAACTTTCGTTGATGCTGGTTATATCTAGCAACATTTTCGCACCTTAGAAATTAAAAGAAAGAGGCTGGCAGAGAAGGCCGGGCGCGGTGGCTCAAGCCTGTAATCCCAGCACTTTGGGAGGCCGAGACGGGTGGATCATGAGGTCGAGAGATCGAGACCATCCTGGTCAACATGGTGAAACCCCGTCTCTACTAAGAATACAAAAAATTAGCTGGGCACGGTGATGCGTACCTGTAATCCCAGCTACTCGGGAGGCTGAGGCAGGAGAATTGCCTAAACCCAGGAGGCGGAGGTTGCGGTGAGCCGAGATCGCGCCATTGCACTCCAGCCTGGGTAACAAGAGCGAAACTCCGTCTCAAAAAAAAAATAAATAAATAAAAGAAAGAGGCTGGGCGCGATGGCTCACTCTTGTAATCCCAGCACTTTGGGAGGACGAGGTGGGCAGATCACCTGAGGTCAGGAGTTTGAGACCAGCTTGGCCAACATGAGGAAACCCCATATCTATGAAAAAATACAAAAATTAGCTGGGCATGGTGGTGGGTGCCTGTAATCCCAGCTACTCTAGAGGCCAAGGCAGGAGAATGAGTTGAACCCAGGAGTGGAGGTTGCGGTAAGCCAAGATCAAGCCACTGCACTACAGCCTGGAAGACAGAGCAAGACTCTGTCTCAAAAAAAAGAAAAAAATGTACAATTAAGTTACTATTGACTATAGTCACCCTGTTGTGCTATCAAATAGTAAGTCTTATTCTTTCTATTTTTTGTACCCATTAACCATCCCCACCTCCCGCTCAGCCTCCCACTACCCCTCCCAGCCTCTAGTAATCATCATTCTACTCCCTATGACCATGAGTTGAATTGTTTTGATTTTTAGATCCACAAATGAGTGAGAACATGCAGTTTGTCTCTCTGTGCTTGGCTTATTTCACGTAGCATAATGACCTCCAGTTCCATTCATGTTGCAGATGACCGGATCTCACTGTTTTTGTTGCTGAATAGTCCTCTATTGTGTATATGTACCACATTTTCTTTATCCATTCATCTGTTGACAGACACTTGGGTTGATTCCAAATCTTGGGTATTGCGGACAGTGCCATGGCAAACATGGAGTGCAGATATCTCTTAGATATATTGATTTCCTTTCTTGTGGGCATATACCCAGCAGTTTGCTGGACCACAGGGTAGCTCCATTTTTAGTTTTTTGAGGAACCTCCAAACTGTTCTCCATAGTGGTAGTTCTAATTTACATTCCCAACATAGTGTACCCTTCTCTTCACATCTTAACCAGCATTTGTTACTGCCTCTCTTTTGGATATAAGCCACGTTAACTTACACATCGTATTTAGGCTAAGTGCACGAAAGTAATGGAAGAAGCTACAATATTATGCAACCAATATCAGTTCCTGTCTTTCTGCCTGCCTGGCTACCTTCCTTTCCTCCTTCCTTCTCTCTTCCTTCTTTCATTTTTATTTATTTATTTTTATTGTTTTTGAGATGAGGTCTCGCTCTGTCGCCCAGGCTGGAGTGCAGTGGCATGATCTCAGCTCACTGCAACCTCCACCTCCCAGGTTCAAGCAATTCTCCTGCCTCAGCTTCCTGAGTAGCTGGGACTACAGGTGTGCACCATCATGCCCAGGTACATTTTTTGTGTTTGTTTGTTTGTTTTGAGACAGAGTCTCGCTCTGTCACCAAGGCTGGAGTGCAGTGGCGCAACCTTGGCTCACTGCAACCTCCACCTCCTGGGTTCAAGTGATTCTCCTGCCTCAGCCTCCTGAGTAGCTGGGATTACAGGTGTACACCACCATGCCTGGCTAATTTTTTGTATTTTTAGTAGAGACAGGGTTTTGCCATGTTGGCCACGCTGGACGTTTGTTTGTTTGTTTCTTGAGACAGAGTCTTTCTCTTGTCGCCCAGGCTGGTGTGCAGTGGCATGATCTCAGTAGACTACAACCTCTGCATCCTGGGTTCAAGCGATTCTCCTGCCTCAGCCTCTCGAGTAGCTGAGATTACAGGCTCCTACCACCACACCTGGCTAATTTTTTGTATTTTTAGTAGAGATGGGGTTTCACCATGTTGATCAGGCTGGTCTTGAACTCCTGACCTCAGGTGATCCACCCACCTCAGCTTCCCAAAGTGCCAGAATTTCTACCATACCCAGCTGCCAGGCTGGTCTCAAACTCCTGACCTCAAATGATCCACCTGCCTCAGCCTCTCTAAGTGCTGGGATTATAGGCATGAGCCACCACGCCTAGCCTGGACTCATTTTTGAAAGATGTTATTATTTGCCAGGCCCAGATTTGCTGTGTGTTTTGTGTATTTTGCTATTTCACTTATTTATGGGACCCCCACTTAGCTCTTTTCTGCTCATTCCCAGGCCTGTATGGAAGATAGAAGTATCCTGCTGTCTGCAGACCGTATTTTCTGTAGCTACAGGAATGCTCAAGATCATATAGGCCTCTAGTCACATAACTCTGCTTATTATACTTCCTTCATGGCACAGGCCTGCAGCTCTAGCTTCCTTCATGCTTCATTACCTCCTTCCTCCAGTGCCCTTCTTCATCGCCTATAAGGCGATGTCCTTGGCCAGGTGCAGTGGCTCAGGCTGTCATCTCAGTGCTTTAGGAGGATCACTTGAGACTAGGAGTTTGAGACCAGCCTGGGTAAGATAGTGAGATTCTGTCTCTACAAAAAAATATTAAAAATAAAAATTAGCCAGGTATGGTGGCATACCCCTATAGCCCCAGCTGCTTGGGAGGCTGAGGTAGGAGGATTGCTTGAGCCCAGGAGGTCGAGGCTGCAGTGAGCCATGAACATACCACTGCTCACCAGCTGGGGTGACCGAGCAAAATCCCATCTCAAAAAAAAAAAAACAAAAAAAACAAAAAAAGAAAAGACTGAGGCTGGGTGCAGTGGCTCACACCTATAATCCCAACACTCTGGGAGGCTGAGTCAGACAGATCACTTGAGGCCGGGAGTTTGAGACCAGCCTGGCCAACATGGAGGAAACTTGTCTCAACTAAAAATACAAAAAACATTAGCTGGGTGTGGTGGTGGGTATCTGTAACCCCAGTTACTTTGGAGGCTGAGCCAGGAGAATTGTTTGAACCTGGGAGGCAGAGGTTGTAGTGAGCCAAGATTGTACCACTGAACTCCAGCCTGAGCAACAGAGTGAGACTCTGTCTCAAAAAAAAAAAAAGAGAGAACATTGGGCAATTAGAGCTTAATCTGTTGATTGGGAAATTATTGATACTTTTATTGAGTATGATAAATTATTAGGTGTTTTTCTAAGAAAAGTGGATCATCTGTTCGGTACTAAAGCATCTGTGGTTGAAGTATTATGATGTTTGGCATGTGAGATTTGCTTCAAGGTACATGGGGAGTAAAAGATTGAAGGGAAGAGATAAAACAGTGTGCATCTTGTTTTGTTTTGTTTTTTGAGATGGAGTTTCACTCTTATTGCCAAGGCTGGAGTGCAATGGCGCGATCTCGGCTCATGGCAACCTCCACCTCCCAGGTTCAAGCAATTCTCCTGTCTCAGCCTCCCGAATAGCTGGGATTATAGGCATATGCCACCAGGCCCAGCTAATTTTTTATTTTTAGTAGAGATGGGGTTTCTCCATGTTGGTCATGTTGGTCTCGAACTCCTGACCTTGTGATTCACCTGCCTCAGCCTCCCAGAGTGCTGGGATTACAGGCATGAGCAACCATGCTCAGCCGGCATCTTGTTAACTATTGAAGCAGACTGATCTGTATGGGAGGGTCATTACTGTACACTATTCTCTGTACTTTTGTGCATTTTGAAAATTTTCATAATAAAAAGTTTAATATACACTAATGCATGGGTTTATTGTTTCAGGGATTGGTGACATTTAGGGACGTGGCCATAGAGTTCTCTCTGGAAGAATGGAAGTGCCTGGAACCTGCTCAGAGGGACCTGTACAGGGAGGTGACTCTGGAGAACTTTGGTCACTTGGTATCGCTAGGTAAGGAGATTGTATCACATGGGCCAGATGGGAAGCAAGGCACCTGGGACTATAACCATGGGGGTGCTGTTTCCACCTCTGCCTAAAGGGGTGAGGAGAGGAAACTGTCACAGAAACGCTACAAACCATAGAGAAGAGCCAGGCTAGCAATAGCTGTAGCTACTTCCAGAGCTCCAGGTCAAAGGAGGGAGGGAGAGGGGTGAGAAATGCCCGGTGCCCTCTCTCCTCCTGTTCACTGACCTCCAGTTGGTGCTTCCTGTCTGCCAAAGCCAGTGAGAAGCCAGAAGGCATAGGTAATGCAGTCCTTACAGTAAGCTGTCAGGATCCCAGAGCAAGGCACGGAACAAGGCCAGGGGCATCAAGGAACAGATTGGAAGGGAAGGAGGGACTTATGGAGAGTGATCACAGATATCTGCTCCAAATAATTCAGGACTAGCCTTCTAGAATTTCTGGTTTCTTCACTGCGAATTTCTAGGGTAACTTACAAGTTTCTGACTGAATTTCTGGTGACTGAAAAGTTGCTTTGTGCTTTGCGGAACTGGAAACAAGTCATTTCATTGGGCACCTTGGTCTTCCCATCCTTTGGACAACCTTCCCCTTGTGATGGCGTCTTTTCCATGGTAACCAGGGAACTGGGTTTGGATTTTGGAGCAGTCTGATCACACCCCGTTTCTTTTCCTGTAAACAGGACTCTCCATTCCTAAGCCTGATGTCATCTCCTTACTGGAGCAAGGGAAAGAGCCCTGGATAATTGCAAATGATGTGACAGGACCATGGTGCCCAGGTGAGCGAGGGCTGATTCCACGGTAGAAGGTCCCTGGGTGAGTCGACTGACAGCAGTAACTTGAGTTACTGTGGGAACGTTCCTCAAAGCCCTACTGTGGAATAAAGGGTGAGCAAAGACCTTACTAGTGTCAGCTCCCAAGGGACCCTTGCCCTACTCCCATTAATTCCTGTTTTATCTCACATTTTCCTTCCTTTTTAAAAAGAGATATACCTATTCCTTCCTCAGTGGCCACCTTTTTAACTATACTTTGTATCCTTTTTTTTTTTTTTTTTTAAGAGACAGGATCTCACTTTGTCACCCACACTGGAGTGTAGTGGCGTGATCATAGCTCACTACAGCCTCCATCTCCTGGGCTTAAAAAGTGGGATTACAGGTGTGAGCCACGGTACCCAGCCAGATCCCTTTTTTCTACAAGTATCTTCATCCCTTAGAAAAACTTATTTTCTTGGCCAGGTGCAGTGGCTCACACTTGGAATCCCAGCACTTTGGGAGGCCAAGGTGGGAGGATCACCTGAGGTCAGGAGTTCAAGACCAGCCTGACCAACATGGTGAAACCCTCTCTCTACTAAAAATAGAAAAATATAGCTGGGCATGGTGGCGGGCGCCTGTACTTCCAGCTACTTGGGAGGCTGAGGCAGGAGAATCGCTGGAATCTGGGAGGCGGAGGTTGCAGTGAGCTGAGACCATGCCATTGCACTCCAGCCTGGGTGACAAGAGTGAAACTCTGTCTCAAAAAAAAAAAAAAAACAGTAAAACTTATTTTCCTGGCTGGGTGCAGTGGCTCACACCTGTCATCTCAGCACTTTGGAAGGCCGAGGTGGGTGAATCACTTGAGGTCAGGAGTTCAAAACCAGCCTGGCCAAGATGGTAAAACCCCATCTCTACTAAAAATACAGAAATTAGCTGGGCCTGGTCACACACACCTGTAATCCCAGCTACTCGGGATGCTGAGGCAAGAGGACTGCTTGAACCCAGAAGGCAGAGGTTGCAGTGAGCTGAGATTGCACCACAGCATTCTAGCTTGGGCAACAGAGTGAGACTATGTCTCTAAAAAAAAAAAAAAGAAAAAGAAAAACTTATTTTCTTAAAACTGCTTTTTATTTTATCTAATTCAGCAATTCATTTATTCTCTTAACTTTTGAGAGGTAGTATTCTGTAGTGGTGGAGGGCACAGATGCTGGAGTCAGACGGCTTGAGTTCAAGTCCTAGCTCTGCCCCTTAGTAACTCTGTGAGTTTGCATAAATTACTTGAATACCCTGTGCTTCAGTTTCCTCCTTGGCAGATGGGATAAAAATATTGCTCTTGCACCAGGCACGGTGGCTCACGCCTGTAATCCCAGCACTTTGGGAGGCTGAGGCAGGTGGAACACTGGAGGTCAGGAGTCCGAGACCAGTCTAGTCTGGCCAACATGGTGATACCCCATCTCTACTAAAAATATAAAAATTATCTGAACATGGTGGCGCACATCTGTAATCACAGCTACTTGGGAGGCTAAGGCACAAGAATCACTTGAACCAGGGAGGCAATGGTTACAATGAGCTGAGATTGTGCCATTGCACTCCAGCCTGGAAAGCAGAGAGACTCCATCTCAAAACATATGTATATGTATTGCTGTTATATGAACTAATAGTGTGAAAGTGCCCAGAAGGGCAATTGGTTTCCCTCAGTTTTTGGCCACACGAAAATACCTTTTTTTCTTTAAAAATGACATTTATCGGCCGGGCGCGGTGGCTCAAACCTGTAATCCTAGCACTTTGGGAGGCCGAGGCGGGTGGATCACGAGGTCAAGAGATCGGGACCATCCTGGTCACCATGGTGAAACCCCGTCTCTACTAAAAACACAAAAAATTAGCTGGGCATGGTGGCACGTGCCTGTAATCCCAGCTACTTGGGAGGCTGAGTTAGGAGAATTGCCTGAACCCAGGAGGCGGAGGTTGCGGTGAGCCGAGATCGGGCCATTGCACTCCAGCCTGGGTAACAAGAGCAAAACTCTGTCTCAAAAAAAAAAAAAAATGACATTTATCAGGCTGGGCGCGGTGGCTCACGCCTGTAATCCCAGCACTTTGGGAGGCCGAGGCGGGTGGATCACAAGGTCAAGATATCAAGACCATCCTGGCCAACATGGTGAAACCCTGTCTCTACTAAATACAAAAAAAATTAGCCGGGCATGGTGGCACATGCCTGTAATCCCAGCTACTCAGGAGGCTGAGACAGGAGAATCGTTTGAACCCAAGAGGCGGAGGTTGCGGTGAGCCGAGAATGCGCCATTGTACTCCAGCCTGGGCAACGAGAGTGAAACTCCATCTCAAAAAAAAAAAAAAATGACATTTATCAGCCTGAGCAACATTGCAAGACTCCTTCTCTACAGAAAATACAAAAATTAGCCAGCCATGGCAGCATGCACCTGTAGTCCCAGCTAATCAAGAGGCTGAGGCACCACTTGATCCTGGGTGGTCAAGGCTGCAGTGAGCCATGATTGTGCCACAGCGCTCCAGCCTGGGCAACAGAGCAAGACTTCAGAATAATTAAATAAATAAATAAATATATATATATATATACTTTTTTTTTCTGAGACAGAGTCTTGCCGTGTCACCCAGGCTGGAGTGTACTGGCTTAATCTCAGATCACTGCAACCTCCACCTCCTGGGTTCAAGCCATTCTCCTGCCTCAGCCTCCTGAGTAGCTAGGATTATAGGCATGTGCCACCACGCCCAGATAATTTTTGTACTTTCAGTAGATACAGGGTTTCACTATGTTGGCCAGGCTGGTCTCAAACTCCTGAGCACAAGAGATCTGCGCACCTGGACCTCCCAAAGTGCTGGGATTACCGGCCTGAGCCACCTCGCCCAGCCAGCTGACCCTGTTAATGAGTATTTCTTCCTAGGTTGTTTCTCACTTTGTGTTTGTCTAATGTTTTCTCACAATGAGATTCTGCATTTTAGCAAGAATATCACAGAAGTGATGTGTTCTTCTCCGTACATCACATACTAGACATGGACATAGCCTATTACTAGTGCTGTTGTTTTAATCACTTTGTAAGACAGGGTCTCTTGTTTCTCCCCTGTAAAGTTACTGTTTTTCCATCTGTAATTGATAAGTATCTATGGCCAGATACTTTGACGTTAGGCAAATGTGCCGTCTTTCCTCTTTCTGCCCTCTGATTTTGGCATCCATCACTGGTCCTTGTCTGCATAAGCTATTACTCTGGCACTTGCCTAATGTTGATTTTCTGTCCCTTATTCCTTCACCATTTATTTATTTATATTGTATTTTATTTTTGAGACAGAGTCTTGCTCTGTTGCCAGGCTGGAGTGCAGTGGCGCAATCTTGGCTCACTGCAACCTCCGCCTCCCAGGTTGAAGCAATTCCCCTGCCTCAGACTCCTGAGTAGCTGGGACTACAGGCATGCACCACCACACCTGGCTAAATTTTTTTGTATTTTAGTAGAGATGGGGTTTCACCATGTTGGCCAAGATGGTCTCCATCTCCTGACCTTGTGATCCACCCGCCTCGGCATCCCAAAGTTCTGGGATTATAGGCGTGAGTCACCACGCCTGGCCCCTTCACCATTTATTAATTGGAATTCTTCAGTAAGGAATTGCTGTCCCTAGCCCTCTCCCATTCACTTATTCATCCAGTGATCTTTTTATATCGCCAAGGGTTCATGGGTATTTTATTCAATGGGCTATAGTCATTAGTTTCATTGTTTATTTCATTGCTCGAATTGTTCAGGCTTTGGCCCTTGAGAACTCCTTGCGCTTGGCTCCTGGGTTCTCTCAACATGTCCTCATTCTCTTTTGTGTACTTCCATATTTTCTGGTACCAGAGCATGCTCCATGGTTATTTCATATTTTTCATGCCTCAGCCAGTTCTCAAAAGAGTGCTGGCTCCTTTTATTGAAAAATGGTAGGAAATCGTATCTTTGAACTTCTTTTTCTGAGCAAGGCAAGACCTCAAGATCTTTACCATCTTTTACTTCCCTGTGCCCTAGACCAGCGGTTGGCAAACTGCAGTCTGTGGGTCAAATCCTGTCCATAACCAGCTTTTTATACAGCACTAGAGCCAAGAACAGTTTTCACATTTTGAAAGGGTCAAAAAAAAAAAAAAAAAAGAAAATGTGCTGTAGAGATCTTGTGTGTTCCACAAAGGCTAAAACATTTACCATTGGGCCCTTCACAGAAAAAGTGCAGTGGCTTGATCTCAGCTCATTGCAACCTCAGCCTCCCAGGTTCAAGCAATTCTCCTGCCTCAACTTCCCAAGTAGTTGGGACTACAGGTGTGCGCCACCATGCCTGGTTAATTTTTGTATTTTTAGTAGAAACATTATTTCACCATGTTGGCCAGGCTGGTCTCAAACTCCTGACCTCAAGTGATCGGCCCACCTAGGTCTCCCAAAGCTCCCAAAGTGCTGGGATTACAGGCGTGAGCCACAGCCCCTGGCCTTCCCACTTTCACTTCTATGGACCCTTGTGAATATATTGTGTCCACCCAGATAAACCAAGATAATCTCACCATTTTGTAGTGGTCAACTGATTAGCAAATTTTTTTGTTTTTGAGACAGAGTTTCACTCTTGTTGCCCAGGCTGGAGTGCAATGGCATGATCTCGGCTCATTGCAACCTCCACTTCCTGGGTTCAAGGGATTCTCTTGCCTCAGCCTCTCATGTAGCTGGGATTACAGGTATGCACCACCACACCCAGCTGATACTGTATTTTTAGTAGAGACAGAGTTTCTCCAAGTTGGTCAGGCTGGTCTCAAATTCCCAACCTCAGGTGATCCACCCTCCTTAGCCTTCCAAAGTGCTGGGATTACAGGCATGAGCCACTGCACCTGGCCCTCATTAGCAATCTTAATTTCAACTCTCCTTTCTGTGTGACATAACATTCATAGGTTCCAGAGATGAAAACACAGACACCTTTGAGGGCTGTTATCCCAACTACCACATTCTATATTTGTGCGTTCGTGCGTGCGTGCATGTGTTTAAATGCGGTGGCACAATCTCAGCTCACTGCAACCTCTGCCTCCCAGGTTCAAGCAATTCTCCTGCCTCAGCCTCCTGAGTAGCTGGGACTACAGGTGCACAACACCATGCCCAGCTAATTTTTTGTATTTAGTAAAGACGGGGTTTCACCGTATTGCCCAGGCTGGTTGTGAACTCCTAAATTCAGGCAATCCACCTGCCTCAGCCTACCAAAGTGCTGGGATTACAGGCATGAGCTACCTCACTCTGCCCATTCTGTATGTGTTTTTTTGAGCAAAGATAGTTGAATATGCTTAACTTAAGAATGTATGGACAGGAGCACTGTCTCATGCCTGTAATCCCAGCACTTTGGGAGGCCGAGATAGATGAATCACTTGAGATTAGTAGTTCAAGACCAGTCTGTTCAACATGGCAAAACCCCATCTCTACTAAAAATACCAAAATTAGCCAGGCACAGTGGCAGGCAACTGTAATCCCAGCTACCCAGAAGGTTGAGACAAGAGAATCTGTTGAACCTGGGAGTAGAGTTTGCAGGGAACCAAGACTGCACATCTTTACTCCAGCCTTGGTGACAGAACAAGACTCCATCTCCAAAAAAAAAAAAAAAAAAAAAAAAGAATGTATATGGTACTACTCTACTGTAATTCCATATTAAAATATTACGCCTATTGCTACTAATTCCATAAAAGTATTCTTATCTTTCACAGAATATTTGGTTGGTGTGTTTTCTAATTCCTTGAAGTTATGAAAAAACAACAATCTTTTTTTTGTTTGTTTTTATGGGGACTTACTCTGTAGCCCAAGGTAGAGTGCAGTGGAACAATCTTTTTTTTTTTTATGGGGTCTTACTCTGTAGCCCAGGGTAGAGTGCAGGGCTCAAGCAATTCTCGTGCTTCAGCCTCCCAAGTAGCTGGGTATACAGGTGTGCACCTCCACATTCGGCTAATTTTTTTGTATTTTAGTTGAGACAGGGTTTCACCATGTTGCCCACGGTGGTCTCGAATCCCTGAGCTCAGGCGATCCACCCACCTCAGTCTCCCAAAGTGCTGAGATTACACTCATGAGCCACCACACCTGGCCAACAATCTTCTATTAATTAGGTTTTTTAAAATTGTGACAAAATATACATTATGTAATATTTACTTTTTTTGGGGGGCGGGGACGGAGTTTCGCTCTTATTACCCAGGCTGAAATGCAATGGCACGATCTCGGCTCACCGCAACCTCTGCCTCCTGGGTTCAGGCAATTCTCCTGCCTCAGCCTCCTGAGTTGCTGGGATTACAGGCATGAGCCACCATGCCCAGCTAATTTTTTGTATTTTTAGTAGAGACGGGGTTTCACCACGTTGACCAGGATGGTCTCGATCTCTTGACCTCGTGATCCACCTGCCTCAGCCTCCCAAAGTGCTGGGATTACAGGCTTGAGCCACTGCGCCCGGCCAATATTTACTTATTTTTGAGACAGGTTCTGGCTCTGTTGCCCAGGCTTGAGTGTAGTGGCACGATCTTGGCTCCCTGCAACCTCTGTCTCCCAGTTTCAAGCCATCCTCCCATTTCAGGTTCCCAAGTGGCTGATGCTACAGGAACATGCCACCATGCCTGTCTAATTTTTGTATTTTTTGTAGAGACAGGGTCTCATTTTGTTGTCCAGGCTGTTCTCAAACTCCTGAGCTCAAGGAATATACCTGCCTTGGCCTCCCAAAGTGCTGATATTACAGGCATGAGCCACCTTGCCTGGTCATAATGTTTATAATTTTAACCACGTATAAGTATGTAATTCAGTAGCATTTAGTTCATTCACAGCATGATACAGTGTATTTCCAGAACACATTCATCACCTGAAACAGAAACTCTGTACCCATTAAACAATAACTCTGTTCCCCCTCCCCTGCCAGTCCCTAGTCACCTCTCTTCTACTTTCAGTCTGTGTGAATGTACCTATTCTAGGTGTCTCATGTAAATCATCTGGTATGTGGGCTTTTGTATCTGGCTTTTTTCACTAAGCATAATGTTTCATCCAAGTTGTAGAATGTCTCTGAATTTTATTCTTTTTATGGCCGAATCATATTCCATTGTGTGTGTGTAGACATATATGTGCATAAATATTAATATATGTGTGTATATATTATACATACCACACTTCGTTTATTTCTTTTTTTTTTTTTTTGAGATGGACTCTCACTCTGTTGCCCAGGCTGGAATGCAGTGGCAGTGGTGCGATCTCGGCTCACTGCAACCTCCGCCTCCCAGGTTCAGAGATTCTCCTGCCTCAGCCTCCCAAATAGCTGGGATCACCTGCCACCATGCCCAGCTGATTTTTCAATTTTTTCTTTTTTGAGACGGAGTCTCACTCTCACCCAGGCTGGAGTGCAGTGGTGCAATCTCTGCTCACCGCAACCTCCACCTCCCAGGTTCAAGCGATTCTCCTGCCTCAGCCTCCTAAGTAGCTGGAATTACAGGCAGGCGCCACCAAGCCCAGCTAATTTTTGTAATTTTAGTAGAGGTAGGGTTTTACCACGTTAGTCAGACTTTGTCTCGAACTCCTGACCTCATGATCTTCCCGCCTTGGCCTTTCAAAGTGCTGAGATTACAGGCTTGAGCCACTACGCCCAGCAATTTTCAAATTTTTAGTAGACATGGGGTTTTGCCACATTGGCCAGGCTGGTCTCAAACTCCGGACCTCAACTGATCTGCCTGCCTCAGCCTCCCAAAGTGCTGGGATTACAGGCATGAGCTCCCACATCTAGCCCACTCATCTGTTCTTGGTTTTTTTGTTTGTTTTTGAGACAGAGTTTCACTCGTTACCCAGGCTGGAGTACAATGGTGCGATCTCGGCTCACCGCAACCTCTGCTTCCTGGGTTCAGGTAATTCTCCTGCCTCAGCCTCCCGAGTAGCTGGGATTACAGGCATGCGCCACCATGCCCAGCTAATTTTTTGTATTTTTAGTAGAGACAGGGTTTCACCATGTTGACCAGGATGGTCTCGATCTTTTGACCTCGTGATCCACCCTCCTCGGCCTCCCAAAGTGCTGGGATTACAGGCTTGAGCCACCGCGCCCAGCCGATTTTTTTTTTTTTTTTTCACTTTATCTCTCTCTCTTTTTTATTTTTCCTTGAAGCCCTGTTGGACTTGATCCATTCATCTGTTGATAGACACTTGGATGCTTCCACCTTTCAGCTGTTGAAAATAGTTCAGCTATGAACGTGGGTGTGTAAGTGTCTGTTCAAGTCCCTGCTTTCTTTTGTGTATTCACCAGAAGTAGAATTGTTGGGTCATATGGTTTCATTCTATGTTTAATTTTTTGAGGAACTGTGGTTATTTTTTTAAAATATTTTTCTCTAATTGCTGAGTGTATGATTCTATATGTGATCATTAAATGGAGTTTTTGTTCAAATTTGCTATAGTTTCTGTAAGTTTTCTAAATTTATATTCTTTGTAAATTGTTATCATCTTGGCCTATTTCTGAGAAAGGTGAAGTGGAATCTCCTACATGGTGATTTTGTTAGTTTCTTCTTGTGAGTCTTTTGAATTTTACATGACATATTTGGAGGCTATTTTGTTAGGTGCATGTTAAGTTTAGAAACATAAATCTTCCTTCTGAATGGAATTGCTTTATTGATTATAGAGCTACCCTTCTTAACCCAAAATAATGATTTCTATTTTTAAAGTCTATTTTGTCTTATACTAAGATAGCGCTCATCCTTTATTTTCAAACACCTTATGTCTTCATATCTTAAAGTATGTTACGTGTTACTACTGTGCACCTAGCTTTTGGTATTTTATCCAATCTAACAAATTCTGTCTTTTCTTTCTCTTTTTTTTTTTTTGAAACAAGTTCTCTCTCTCTCTTGCCCAGTCTGGAGTGCAGTGACACTATTCCCCTGGGCTCAAGCAATCCTCCCACCTCAGCCTCCTGAATACCTGGGAACAGGCGCACACCACCACACCCAGCTAATTTTTTGTATTTTTAGTAGAGATGGGGTTTCACCATGTTTCCCAGTCTGGTCTCAACTTCTGAGCTCAAGTGATCCACCTGCCTCAGCCTTCCAAAGTGCTGGGATTATGGGCATGGGCCACCACGCCCAGCTGGGTTGGTTTCAATGGTTACTGAAAAAAAACAGTAGTTCCACCTTTGGGGAAGATTCAGGAGTAAGAAGACAAACAGAACAACAGATGAGTGAGTAAATGAAAATCTAATTACAACAAATAAAAGTGTTACAAAGACAGGGTACAAGAAATGGGACAGAGGATAAAGGTATGTACTTAGGCCTGTCAGGCTGAGAACTTTTTTGAAAGTGGGAGTTTTTGCCAGGCTTGGTGGCTCACGTCTGTAATGTCAGCACTTTGGGAGGCCGAGGCGGGTGGATCACGAGGTCAGGAGTGCAAGAGACCAGCCTGGCCAACATGGTGAAACCCCGTCTCTACTAAAAATACAAAAATTAGCCAGGTGTGGCGGCAAACGCCTGTAATCTCAGCTATTCAGGAGGCTGAGGCGGGACAATCGCTTGAACCCCAGAGACAGATTGCAGTGAGCTGAGATCGAGCCACTACACTCCAGCGTCGAGACAGAGCGAGACCCCATCTCAAGTGTTAAAAAAAAAAAAAAAAGAAGTCTGTAGTCCCAGCTACTTGGCAGGCTGAGGCAGAAGAATCCCTTGAACTCAGGTGGTTGAGGTTACCATAAGTTGTGATCACTCCACTATATTCCAGCCTGGGTGACAAAGCAAGACCCTGTCTCTAAAAAATAATATAATAAAGTGGTCTAAATGGGGAATTTTATGTAATATGGATTTTACATCAGTTAAAAATGTGTCCATTCTGTAAGCATATATAGATATACACAGACATGCACACACTCACCTTAGCCCTGTTCCTGTAGATTTTGACTAAGTTTGGGGCAATGCTTGGGCATTTGTGCTGTTAGCAGGCTTTCTGATGATTCTAATCCATATCGAAATTGAGGGCCAGATGCAGTGGCTCACACCTGTAATCCCAGCACTTTGGGAGGCCGAGGCAGTTGGATCACCTGAGGTCAGGAATTCAAGACCAGCCTGTTGAACATGGTGAAACCCTGTCTCTACTAAAAATACAAAAATTAGCTGAGTGTGGTATAATCCCAGCTACTTGGGAGGCTGAGGCAGAATAATCACTTGAACCCAGAGGGGAGAAGTTGCAATGGGCCAAGATGGTGCCACTGTACTCCAGCCTGGGTGACAGAGCAAGACTCTGTCTCGAAAGGAAAGAGGGAGGGAGTGAAGGAAGGAAGGAAGTACCGATGGACGGAAGGAAAAAAGCAAGGAATGAAGGAAGGAATGAAGGAAAGAAGGAGAAAGAAATTGAGAACCCCTGACTCAATTTGTCTTCTTGCTCCTTTCTGGCACCATATGAGCTCTTCACATGGTGTACTTTCATGCGCTTTTTTGAAATTCCATAATATTTGAGACATATATGAACCATTTCACTTTTTATGGTTATTATATTTATTTTTGTCTCCCTGTTCTACTATAGAATTTTTTTTTGAGACGGAGGCTCGCTCTGTTACCCAGGCTGGAGTGTCGTGGCACAATCTCCACTCACTGCAACCTCCACCTCCCAGATTCAAGCAATTCTTTGCCTCATCCTCCTGAGTAACTGGTATTATAGGAGCCGACCACAATGCCCAGCTAATTTTTGTATTTTTAGTAGAGACAGTGTTTCACCATCTTGGCCAGGCTGGTCTTGAACCCCTGACCTCATGATCCACCCACCTCAGCCTTCCAAAGTGCAGGGATTAAAGGCGTGAGCCACCGTGCCTCTACTTTTTTTTCTTCTCATAGAAGAAATAAAAAATTGTATAATAGAGGCTGAGTACAGCTTGTATTTCTCTTTTTCTTATTTTTCAGACTTGGAGTCCAGGTGTGAGAAATTTCTACAAAAAGGTATTTTTGAAGTCAAGGCATTCAACTGGGAGATCATGGAAAGGCTTAAATGCTGTGACCTGGAGGGCTCCGATTTTACAGATGACTGGGAATGCGAAGGCCAGTTTGAGAGGCAAGTTAGTGAGGAGTGCTATTTTAAGCAAGTAAATGTCACCTATGGACATATGCCCGCGTTCCAGAATCACACATCTCACACTCTGCGTCAGAGCAGTGAGACTGGTGAGAAACTGATTGAATGTCCTGAATGTGGGAAAGTGTTTAGCCGTGGCTCACACCTTACTCAACATCAGAAAACTCACACTGGGGAAAAACCCTTCAGATGTAAGGAATGTGGGAAGGCCTTCAGCCGTGCCTCACACCTTGTGCAGCATCAGAGAATTCACACCGGTGAGAAACCCTATGACTGTAAGGACTGTGGGAAGGCCTTTGGTCGTACATCAGAACTTACTCTACATCAGCGACTTCATACTGGTGTCAAACCTTATGAATGTAAAGAATGCGGAAAGAGCTTTAGGCAGCATTCACAGCTGATTCTGCATCAGAGGACTCACACAGGTGAGAAGCCCTACGTATGTAAAGACTGTGGCAAGGCTTTCATTCGTGGCTCACAGCTCACTGTGCATCGAAGAATCCACACGGGTGCCAGACCCTATGAGTGTAAAGAATGTGGGAAAGCCTTCAGGCAGCATTCACAGCTGACTGTACACCAGCGGATCCATACTGGGGAGAAACCCTACGAGTGTAAGGAATGTGGAAAGGGCTTTATTCACAGCTCAGAAGTTACTCGACATCAAAGAATTCATTCTGGGGAGAAACCCTATGAGTGTAAGGAGTGCGGGAAGGCCTTTAGACAGCACGCACAGCTTACGCGGCATCAGAGAGTCCATACTGGCGACAGACCCTATGAATGTAAGGACTGTGGGAAGGCATTTAGTCGGAGTTCATACCTCATTCAGCATCAAAGGATCCACACCGGTGACAAACCCTACGAATGTAAGGAATGTGGGAAGGCCTTTATTCGTGTTTCACAACTAACTCATCATCAGCGGATTCACACTTGTGAGAAACCCTATGAATGCAGGGAATGCGGAATGGCCTTTATTCGTAGTTCACAACTTACTGAACATCAGAGAATTCATCCCGGTATCAAACCTTACGAATGTAGAGAGTGTGGGCAGGCATTTATTCTTGGCTCACAACTCATTGAACACTACAGAATTCATACTGGTTAGAAAACCTTGAGTGTGAGGGATAAAGAGAAGCCTTTATGTGGACTTCACATCTGTACTACATAATTGTGTGTGTGTGTGTGTGTGTGTGTGAGATGGAGTTTCACTATTATTGCCCAGGCTGGAGTACAATGGTACAATCTCGGCTTACTTCAGTCTCTGCCTCCGGGTTCAAGTGATTCTCCTGCCTCTGCCACCCGACTAGCTGGGATTACAGGCATGCGCCACCATACTTAGCTGATTTTGTATTTCTAATAAAGGCAGGGTTTCTCCACATTGGTCAGGCTGGCCTCAAACTCCTGACCTCGTGATCCTCCCATCTCGGCTTTCCAAAGTTGCTGGGATTACAGGCATGAGCCACGGCACCTGGCTAATTTTGTATTTTTAATAGAAATGAGGTTTCTCCATGTTGGTCAGGCTGGTCTTGAACTCCTGACCTCAGGTGATCCGCCAACCTCGGCTTCCCAAAGTACTGGGATTACTTATTCAATCTCTTTGTCCCTCAGTTTACTTATTATTATTATTATTATTATTTTTGAGACGGAGTTTCGCTCTTGCTACCTAGACTGGAGTGCAATGGCACAATCTCGGCTCACCGCAACCTCTGCCTCCTGGGTTCAAGCAATTCTCCTGCCTCAGCCTCCTGAGTAGCTGGGATTACAGGCACGCGCCACCATGCCCAGCTGATTTTTTGTATTTAGTAGAGATGGGGTTTCACCATGTTGACCAGGATGGTCTCGATCTCTTGACCTCGTGATCCACCTGCCTCGGCCTCCCAAAGTGCTGGGATTACAGGCGTGAGCCACCGCGCCCGGCAGTTTACTTATTTTTAAGTGGTGATTATTATGCCTGATAGAATTTTTATGAGGACTAAATGATGTATTTTATGTAAAGCCTTAGAAGTAATACCTGGCATGCACAAGTGCTCAGTAACTATTAGCTATTGTCAATTTGATTATCAGTATCACTGAAAAGGAGTTCATGTGAGATGAGAGGAGAGCCCCTTATGAATGTATCCAAAAGTCTTCATAACCAGTTGAATAATGATCATTTACTCCGAAAAATACTGGGAAAGCATAATTATTATGAGGCCTTAAATCAAAATGTTAGAAATTCAGAAAATTAGAAATAAACAGAAGCATGACCGGGCAAACTGGCTCACACCTGTAATCCCAGCAGTTTGGGAGGCTGAGGCAGGCAGATCACTTGAGGTCAGGAGTTCAAGATCAGCCTGGGCAACAGAGAGAGTCTCTACAAAAATAAAAAAAAATTTGCCACGCAGGGTGGCGCATGCCTGTGGTCCCTGCTACTTGAGAGGCTGAAGTGGGAGGATCACTTGTGCCTAGGAGGTCAAGGCTGCAGTGAGCTATGATCGTGCCAGTGCACTACAGTCTGAGCAACAGAGCGAGACCATGTCTCAAGAAAAAAGAAAAAATTAACAGAATAGCCAAAAGCAATAAGCCCATTTTCTAAAACCACTCTATAACTTAAAGAGAAATCAAAACTAAAATTACAAACTAGAAATGAACGACTAAATTCTACATGTCAGAATTAGTTTGGGCCAGGTGTGATGGCTCACACCTGTAATCACAGCACTTTGGGAAGCCAAAGTGGGTGGATCACTTGAGGTTAGGAGTTCAAGACCAGCCTGGCCAACATGGTAAAACACTATCTCTACTAAAAATACAAAAATGAGCTAGGCATGGTGGTGGGTGTCTGTAAGTCCCAGCTATTTGGGAGGCTGAGGCAGGAGAATCACTTGAACCCAGGAGGCAGAGGTTGCAGTGAGCTAGGATGGCTTGCACTCCAACCTGGGCAACAAGAACGAAATTTAGTCTCAAAAAAAAAAAAAAAAAAAAAAAATTAGCCAGGTGCAGTGGTGCATACCTGTAGTCCCAGCTACTCAGAAGGCTGTGGCAGGAGAATTGCCCAGGAGAATTGAGCCTCGGAGGTGGAGGTTGAAGTGAGCTGAGATCATGCCACTGCACTCCAGCCTGAGTGACACAGAGAAGAACTAGTTTAGCATAGCCAATGCTGTACTCCATGGCTCACAACTCATAACCTACGGGTTAAAGGTAGCAGCTTTGTTCTCTATGTGTAGTTCTCCAACACCTCATCACTGCCAGTCACATACTAAACATGTTGAATGACTGAGTAGTCAACTCTCAAAGTTAGGAGGAAATTAAAATATAAATCAAAGCAGTAAGGTTATTAAAAATAAAAATGAACAGAATGGAAAACAAAACATTTCATCTGAAGGTTGTTTAACAATATACTAAGACTATTTACAAGTGTGATCTAGGAAAAAAATATGAATGAGAAAGGGGGTAAAGATTTTTCAAAGATAGCTTACTATGCATGACTTTTTCTGTTTTAAAATCTAGACAAAATGAATTTTTACAAAAATATTAAAATTGATTCCTAGGATTTCTGTAATCCTAGCACTTTGGGGGGCCAAGGTGGGTGGATCACCTGAGGTCAGAAGTTTGAGATCAGCCTGGCCAACATGGTGAAACCCCATCTCTATTAAAAATACAAAAATTAGCTGGGCGTGGTGGCATGTGTCTGTAATCCTAGCTACCTGGGAGACTCAGGCAGGAGAATTGCTGAAACCCAAAGTCAGAGGCTACAGTGAGCCTGGATCATGCCAGTGCACTCCAGCCTGGGTGACAGAGCCAGACTCCATCTCAAAAAACAAACAAAAAAATTAGCTGGGCGTGATGGTGCACACCTGTAGTCCCAGCTATTTGGGAGGCTGAGGAAGGAGAATCGCTTGAACCTGGGAGGTGGAGGTTGCAATGAGCCAAGATCACACCACTGCACTCCAGCCTGGGTGACAGAGCAACACTGAGTCTAAAAAAAAAACAGCAGCTAATTTTAAATGAAATGTCTAAAACCTTACTGTTCTGAATTAATGATGATTTCAGACTGTTGATACTGTGCCCCAATAGATCACAGTGATGGGGAATAGAGCCTTGATCCATAGTGACATCTGGATCAGGGTTTGCCAGTGAGTCTGGAATCTCAGGAAACTGATCTCCTTAGCCCTTGGGGTAGCCAGCCAATGTCTGGGGCAGGGAGCCACTTGCACTTTGATGCCAGCTGTCTTATCAATTATCTATATATCCGTTGCCTACAAAAGATTAGAAAGCAATGTTCTGTATGTTATTTTTCTTTAAGTGGTTTAATGATTAAAATGTTCTGTTGGAGGGACTCAAAGCTATGACATTAAAAAATTTCACTCTGGGCTGGGCATGGTGGTTCCTCCCATAATCATAGCACTTTGGGAGGCCGAGGCTGGTGGATTACTTAAGCTCAGGAGTTTGAGACCAGCCAAGGCAACATGATGAAACCCTGTCTTTACTAAAATACAAAAGAAATTACCCAGGTGTGGTGGCCTGCACCTGTAATCCCAGCTACTTGGGAGGCTGAGGCAGGAGAATTGCTTGAACCCAGGAGGCAGAGGTTGCAGTGAGCCAAGATCATGCCACTGTACTCCAGCCTGAGTGACAGAGCACTCATCTCAAATAGATTAGGTAGATAGATAGATAGATAGATAGATAGATAGATAGATAGATAGGTAGTCACTCTGAATAGTTATAGCACAGGCATAGGATAAAATTGTTGAAGTTACAATTTGTTGTTGTTGGGTTTTTGTTTGTGTGTGTGGTTTTTGAGACTGAGTCTCACCCAGGCTGGAAGACAGTGGCACTATCTTAGCTTTCTGCAACCTCCACCTCCTGGGTTCAAGTGATTCTCCAGCCTCAGCCTCCTGAGTAGCTGAGATTACAGATGCCCGCCATCATGCCTGGCTGATGTTTGTGTTTTTCATAGAGACAGGGTTTCACTGTGTTGTCCAGTCTGGTCTTGAACTCCTGACCTCAAGTGATCTGTCTGCCTTGGCCTCCCAAAGGGCACTGCCCGGCCTAAAATTACACTTTGGTATGCAGACATAAACGAATCTTCATACAATAGCTCCCCACTTTTCCCACTCCGTTACCCTTTATGGAACAGTCACTAACACCAAGTTCTTGTATATCGTTTCTGATTTTTAATTTGCATAAACATGTAATCCCAGCACTTCGGGAGGCCGATGTGAGCAGATCACTTGAAGTCAGGAGTTCAAGACCAGCCTGGCCAACATGGTGAAACGTCGTTTCTACTAAAAAAATATAAAAATTAACCGGGTGTGGTGGCGCATGCCTATAGTCCTAGCTACTTGGGAGGCTGGGGCACAAGAATTGCTTCAACCCAAGAGGCAGAGGCTGCAATGAGCCGAGATCCTGCCACTACACTCCACCCTGGGCAACAGAGTGGAGACTCCGTCTCAAAAACAGTAATTATTATTATTTCCATAAGCATAATGTACTCTTTATAAAAATATTTTACGTAAGTAATAGCAAATTTCAACACACTGCTATTTTTGTTTATGCATACATCTTGCAGATTAGACCATATTGGTACATATATAGCTGCCTCATTTATTTTGAACAACTCCTTAGGATTCCATCATCTGTGTGTTTCATAATTTAACACGGTCAGTTTTTTTTTTGAGACGGAGTCTCACTCCGTTGCCCAGGCTGGAGTGTAGTGGCACAATCTCGGCTCACCATAACCTCTGTCTCCCGGGTTCAAGTAATTCTTCTGCCTCAACCTCCCAAGTAGCTGGGATTAGGTACAGCCACCATGCCCAGCTAATTTTTGTATTTTTTAGTAAAGATGGGTTTCACTATGTTGACCAGGCTGGTCGTGAACTCCTGACCTTGTGATCTACCTGCCTCAGCCTCCCAAAGTCCTGAGATTACAGGTGTAAGCCACCACGCCCAGCCTTTTTTTTTTTTTTTTTTGAGATAGAGTCTTGATCTGTTGCCCAGGCTGGAGTGCAGTGGTATGATTTTGGCTCACTGCAACCTCTGCCTCCTGAGTTCAAGAGATTCTCCTGCCTCAGCCTTCCAAGCAGCTGGAATTACAGGCACTCACCACCATGTCCAGCTAATTTTTGTATTTTTAGTAGCAACAGGATTTTGCCATGTTGGCCTGGCTGGTCTCGAATTTCTGACCTCAAGTGATCTGCCTGCCTTGGCCTCTCAGAGCTGGGATTACAGGTTTGAGCCACCATTCCCGGACTTTCTATCATTTTTTCTTCTTTCTTTTTTTTTGAGATGGAGTCTCGCTCTTATCACCTAGGCTGGAATGCAGTGGCATGATCTTGGATCACTGCAACCTCCATCTCCTGGGTTCAGTCGATTCTCCTGCCTCAGCGTCCCAGTTAGCTAGGATTACAGGTGCCCACTACCACGCCCAGCTAAATTTTTGTATTTTTAGTAGAGACGGGGTTTCATCACGTTGGGTGGGCTGGTCTCGAATCCCTGACCTCAGGTGATCCACCTACCTTGGCCTCCCAAAGTTTTGGTATTATAGGCATGAGCCACCGCACCCAGCCTATTTTTTGTTCTTTCAAACAAACACGTAATACATATTTCCCTTGCACATAAATTATTTTGTACATGTGTAATATATCTTTAAGATAAATTCCTAGAAGTGGAAATGCTAGATAAAAATGTAAATTTTTAAAAACTTTCTATTGTGACTAAATGTGCACATATAAAAAATTCACAGAATTTTATAATGAACCCCAGAGGCCTCATCACCAGCTTCCAGAATTATCAACTCACGCCCAATCTTGCTTTGTCTGTATTCCCTCCCACTTCTCTCATCTCCGTGTCATTTTTGAAGTGAACACCAGATATATGATTTCATCCATAAACATTTCATCTATATCATTTCATACATATCTCTAAAACACATCACAACTTTAGAAAAGAATTTGACTCCTAAAAAGAAAAAATGGGCCAGGCACAGTGGCCCAGTACTTTGGGAGGCTGAGGCGGGCAGATCACCTGAGATCAGGAGTTCGAGACCAGCCTGGCCAACTTGGTGAATCTCTCTACTAAAAATACAAAAATTAGCTGGGCATGGTGGCAGGTGCCTGTAATCCCAGCTACTTGGGAGGCTGAGGCAGGAGAATCACTTGAACTTGGGAGGTGGAGGCTGCAGTGAGCCGAGATGTTGCAGTGAGCCAAGATCGTACCACTGCACTCCAGCCTGGGCTACAGAGCAAGACTCTATCTCAAAAAAAAAAAAAAAAAAAAAAAAAAAAAAAAGAAGGCCGGGCGCAGTGGCTCAAGCCTGTAATCCCAGCACTTTGGGAGGCCGAGGCGGGTGGATCACGAGGTCAAGAGATTGAGACCATCCTGGTCAACATGGTGAAACCTGGTCTCTACTAAAAATACAAAAAATTAGCTGGGCATAGTGGCGCGTGCCTGTAGTCCCAGCTACTCAGGAGGCTGAGACAGGAGAATTGCCTGAACCCACGAGACAGAGCTTGAGGTGAGCCGAGATCGCGCCATTGCACTCCAGCCTGGATAACAAGAGCGAAACTCCGTCTCAAAAAGAAAAAAGAAAAGAAATGACATTACCACCTTAATGCCATTATATGTATGATAGTGTTCAAATTCCTGTTTGTTTCATAAATGTCAGTTTTAGAAAAAATTACCAGGATCCAAATAATGTCCACACATTGCAGTTGGTGTCTCTTATTTCTCAACCTATTATTCACAGTCTATTCTCCCTTACTGTTTTTTTTTTCTTGCAACTTACTGTTTTTTGAAGAAATTAGGTAATTTGCCTCATAGATCTTCTCTGAATCTGGTTTCTGCTGGATGCATCTGCATGGTGTAGTTTAACATGCTCCTCTATCCCTAGTATTTCCTGTAAAATGGTAGTTGAGATTTAGAGGACTGATCAGATTAAGGTGTTTTTTTGTTAAGGTTATTTATAAGTGGTTAATAATAGGAGCTGTAATAGCTAAGTGTTGCTTTTTTTGTGATGTTGGCAACCATTGATGTTTAATTGATAAATCTGTTCATTAGAGGTTACAAAATGGTGATATCTTATTATTCATTCTTTCCTTATTAGCTAGAATTTCCTTATTTTCTTCATACAAAGAAAAACTTTCCAGCCTGGTGTGGTGGTTCACACCTGTAGTCCCAGCACTTTGGAAGGCTGAGGCAGGTGGATCACTTGAGGTCAGGAGTTCGAGACTAGCTGACCAATATAGTGAAACCCCCATCTCTACTAAAAATACAAAATTAGCTGGGTGTGGAGGCTGAGGCAGGAGAATCGCTTGAACCCGGGAGGCAGAGGTTACAGTGAGCCAAGATTGCACCATTGCACTCTAGCCTGGGCAACAGGAGTGAAACTCCGTCTAAAAACAAAACAAAACCTTTCCTTCAGCTATTATTTAGTTACCTAATGATGCAGTAAAGAAATGCAGGATAAATGCTTCTTTCTCTTTACTGGTTTTCAAACTAATGAGTTGAGGCCAGGTGCAGTGCCTCACACCTGTAACCCCAGTACTTTGGTAAGCCAAGGCAGGCAGATCACTTAAGGTCAGGAGTTCAAGACCAGCCTGGCCAACATGGTGAAACCCCATCTCTATTAAAAATGTAAAAATTAGCCAGGCATGGTGGTACATGCCTATAATCCCAGGTACTCAGGAGGCTGAGGCAGGAGAATTGCCTGAACCCGGGAGGCGGAGGTTGCAGTGAGCTGGAGGTTGCACCACTGCACTGCAGCCTGGGTGACAAGAGCGAAATTCTGTCTCAAAAATAATAACAAAACAATAATAATGAGCTGGTTCCCCCAGCAGTCTGCCATGGTAGCTGATGAATTTAGATGCAGGAGTGTGTGTGTGTTTCATGTTTAATGTGTTTCAATCCATTTAAGTTGCACCCTCAGTGATGCTTAAATGCTTCCATGTTGGGTGTGGAAGAGTCTTCCAATTGGCTCCTGTGTTCTTTTGCTATGGCCCAGTCGTCTCTGATCATTTGCCCGCTGTCTCCCACCCCGAGATGTTGCAAGCTTATCTTGCTGACTTCCTGTCTCTCAACTTTAAGTCGCCATTTTCCAAGGAGCCCTCTTCTTTCCTTTTGGTACTTTGGTACTTTCCCAGATGGTATTTGGAAACCACAATCAGGTTGTTAGGAGCGCTTCCTGCTCCTAGTTGGCCATTTTTAAGAAGTGTATACATTTTAAGCCATTCTATAGACATTGCTCAAGTGCCTTCAGGAAGATTATGCACCTGTACATCTACCTACAGTAGAAGAGACCCCAAAGCCACGCTCATCTGATCCTGAAGAATCATTTATTTTGAACATAGACCATTGACAAGGTGAAAAATGGCAAAGTCTCTCTTGTTTACATTTGCGTTCCTTCAATAGTGATTAAATTACCATTTGTTCACATATTTGTTGACCATTGGAATTGCTTTTAGCACAGTGCCTAAAACATAGTAGGTGCTCAATAAATATTTGGTAATTGAATAAATTACTTGTACATTCATATCTTTGTTCATTTAATATAGGGAGGGGTCATATTTTTCTTATATAGAGCTATTTTTGAAAGGATTAAATGTGTATAAAGTTCCTAGCCTGATGCATGCATTGCCATTTATATCTGATTGGATGGCACTTTTTTTTTTCTGCTTTAAGAGAGAAGGGGACTAGTGCAGTGACTCACTCATGTAAGTCCAGCACTTCGGGAGGCCAAGGTGGGCAGATCACCTGAGGTCAGGAGTTCAAGACCAGCCCGGCCAGCACGGTGAAACCCTGTCTCTACTAAAAATACAAAAACTTAGCCAGGCGTGGTGGCATGTGCCTGTAATCTTACTTGGGAGGCTGAGGCAGGAGAATCACTTGAACCTGAGAGGTGAAGGTTGCAGTGAGCCAAGATCGCGCCACTGCACTTCAGCCTGAGTGACAGAGCGAGATACTGTCTAAAAAAAAAAAAAAGAAAGAGAAAAGATTAAGGAGGCCAGGTGTAGTGTTTCACTCCTGTAATCCCACACTTTGGGAGGGGGGCAGTGGGAGGATCACTTGAGGCCAGGAGTTAAGATTAACCTGGGCAACACAGCAAGACACTATCTCTAAAAAAATTATTAAATTAGTCAGGTGTAGTGGCACGCCTGTAATCCCAGCTACTCAGGAGGCTGGGGAGGGAGGATCACTTGAGCCCAGGAGTTCAAAGCTGCAGTGATCTATGATCCTGCCTCTTGCACTCCAACCTGGACAACAGAGCGAGACCCTGTCTCCAAAAAAAAAAGAGAAAGAAGGATAAGGAATTTGGCCAGGCATGATGGCTCACGCCTGTAATCCCAGCACTTTGGGAGGCTGAGGCAGGTGGATAGCTTGACCCCAAGAGTTCAAGACCAGCGTGGGCAATACAGCAAAACCCTGTCTCTACCAAAAAATACAATTAGCCAGACGTGCTGGTATGCATCTGTAGTCCCAGCTACTCAGGAGGCTAAGGTGAAGGATTGCTTGAACCCAGAACCCACCACTGCACTCCAGCCTGTGCAACAGACCAAGACGCTGTCTCAAAATAATAATAATAATAATAATGTGTATATGCAGCTCTGCTTCTGCAAGAAGGGCCTAGGCTCGCCACCTCTTGAGAAGAGAATGGCCACCTCCTGGGTGTCACTTTTTCATGCTGGGGGTAACCTGTGTTTGCAGAAGGCTGGGTTTAAGAGTACCTTCCTGTCTTCCATACACTCCATTGAGGTCAGAGCCAGGGACTTGTATGAAATTCTTTTGGATGCACAGATCACTGGAACTTGAATCTATGTTTACACTTTTGTGCAGAAAACATCAGAACAGCTTCCAATTCTGGAAGGGACATTGTTGGTTCAGTGAAGCCAGGACTTTCTGCTTTGATCATTCAAGCTGAGCAGTAGGCTGAGATTGTTCCAGGACTCTGAGAGGTGGCCAAAGACTCAGTCCCCTAAAATCACTGGAACAGGACCCCAGTGGTCCTGAAGGCAACTGTAGACCTGTGCTTAATGCCAGAATGGAAGAGCCAGGCTCTGTTCCTTGAGGTAAGGGAGAGCTTCAAGAAGTCACATTTGGGCCAGATGCAGTGGCTCACACCAGTAATCCCAGCACTCTGGGAGGCTGAGGCAGGCAGATCACCTGAGGTCAGGAGTTGGAGACCAGCCAGCCAACATGGTGTAACCCTGTCTCTACTAAAAATACACAAATTAGCCAGGCCCATGCACACCTGTAATTCCAGCTACTCAGGAGGCTGAGGCATGAGAATTCTTGACCCCAGGATGCAGAGGTTGCAGTGAGCCAAAACCACAACACTGTGCTCTAGCCTGGGTAACAGTGAGACTATTTAAAAGGAAGAAGAGGCCAGGCGTGGTGGCTCAAGCCTGTAATCCCAGCACTTTGGGAGGCTGAGGCGGGTGGATCATGAGGTCAAGAGATCGAGGCCATCCTGGTCAACATGGTGAAACACCATCTCTACTAAATATACAAAAATTAGCTGGGCATGGTGGCGCGCGCCTGTAGTCCCAGCTACTCGGGAGGCTGAGGCAGGAGAATTGCTTCAACTTGGGAAGTGGAGATTGCAGTGCTCTGAGATCACACCACTGCACTCCAGCATGGGTGACAGAGCAAGACTCCATCTCAAAAAAAAAAAAAAAAGTGATACAATTTGAAGTATTCATGGATCAAAGGATATGATGATGCCCTGGCTTTGATTTAAAAATCCATTGAGGGAGAAAAGTGGGTGGGGGTGTAGACGAGACAAGTTTGTTGAGACTGGGTGATAGGAATGTGGAGTGGCGGGTTCATTATTCTACTTGCTGTGTTTCTGTGTGTTTGACATGTCCCATGATTACAAATTGAAATCTATTTCCTGAGCACCTACTGGGTGCCAGGCACTGTTCTAGCCACTGGAAATCAGTAGGGAACAATACTGAAAGACTCCATGTGTTCATGTAACTTAAATGCTGGTGGGATCATAACTAACCTTTTTTATATTTTATTTTTGAGACAGGGTCTCATGCTGTCACCCAGGCTGGAGTGCAGTGGTGCGATCATGGCTCACTGCAAACTTCTCTCAGGCTCAAGTGATTCTTCCACCTCAGCCTTTCCCAGTAGCTGGGAAAAATCCCAGTAAGTGGGAGAATCACTTGAGCCTGAGATAATGTTTTCTATTTTTATTTTTGTTGAGAAGGGATCGCACTACGTTCCCTAGCCTGGTCTCCAACCCCTGGGCTCAAGTGGTCCTCCTGCCTTAGCCTCCCAAAGTGCTGGGATTACAGGTGTGAGCCACTGCACCTGGCCAGAAAAAAATTACCCTTTTATTACTGGGAAAGGTTGAGCATGTTTTGGGGGTTGTTCTTGGTGGTGGTGGTGTGTGTGTATGTGTGTTATTTGTTTGCTTTTGTATAAACATGAACTTTTCCCAGGATACATAAGAAACAAATAACATAGAATGTTTCCCTTGGACGGAAAGGTAGACTCCCCAGAGAGAGGAAGACCCTGTTTATGCTCATAAATTTTAAACCATGTGACTTTATCATCTATTCAGCAACTGGGAGAATAAAAGCTAAAAATTTTGAAAAGCAAGTTCTAAAACATCAAGAATGGTTAGAGTATGGGAAGGTCCAGGTGGAAAGGGTGGTTATTTTTGTGCCTGCCACAAGATGGCAGCAGAGCAGCACCAAAGCCAAGTTCTGGACCCCCTAAGGCCACCGGTAGGCAGGCCCCCTCCACACCCACAACCTGCAGCTTCTGCGGGCTTCCCACCTGCTGTGTGACTGTGGTAAGGCTGAACCATCCACACATTCTCCACACACAGAAACTGGGGTAATAAATACATATTGTTACCAGGTGCAGTGGCTCATGCCTGTTATCCCAGCACTCTGGGAGGCTGAGGCGGGTGGATCACCTGAGGTCAGGAGTTCAAGACCAGCATGACCAACATGGTGAAACCCCATCTCAAAATAAATAAATGAATGAATAAATAAAATATATAGAGAGTGGGAGGGAGAGAGAGAAAGAGAGAGAGACAGAGACAAAGACAGAGAGAGAGACAGAGAGTTGTGAATTGCGTGTCCGGGTGCGGATGCCCCCATTACATGCCTGTAATCCCAGCACTTTGGGCTTTGGGAGGCTGAGGTCAGGAGTTCGAGACCAGCCTAGCCAATATGGCAAAATGCTGTTTTCACTAAAAAATACCAAAATTAGCCAGGCATAGTGGCACACACGCATAATCCCAGCTACTTGGGGGAGGCTGAGGCAGGAGAATTGCTTGAACCTGGGAGGTGGAGGTTGCAGTGAGCCGAGATCTCACCACTGCACTCCAGCCTGGGTGAGACTCTAAATCAATCACACAGAATTTACACAAATGGACCTCAGTATAGGGATCTTATTTGGATCTTGATATAAACAAGTATTTTAAAATTTATGACTCTTTTTTTCAAGACAAGGTCTCACTCCAGCCTGGGCAACAGAGTAAAACTGTGTCTCAAAAAAAAAAAAAAAAAAAAAAGAGTCCTTATATTTTAAAAATACATATTCAATTCAAAAAATTGAATATCTGTTTCTAAAATATATATTCAGTTCACTGCAACCCCCGCCTCCCTGGTTCCAGCGATTCTCTTGCCTCAGCCTCCCGAATAGCTGGGATTACAGGCACGCGCCACCACACCCAGCTAATTTTTGTATTTTTAGTAGAGACGGGGTTTCACCACGTTGACCAGATGGTCTCGATCTCTTGACCTCGTGATCCACCCACCTCTGCCTCCCAAAGTGCTGGGATTACAGGCGTGAGCCACCGCGCCCGGTCCGAATATGCATATTTAAAATATATATTCAGCTCACTGCAACCCCTGCCTCCCCGGTTCCAGTGATTCTCTTGCCTCAGCCTCCTGAATAGCTGGGATTACAGGCATGCGCCACCATGCCCAGCTAATATTTTTGTATTTTTAGTAGAGATGGGGTTTCATCACATTGGCCAGGCTGGTTTTGAATTCCTCATCTCAAATGATCCACCTGCCTCTGCTTCCCAAAGTGCTGGGATTACAGGCGTGGGCCACCACACCTGGCAATTCTGTGTTCTTTAAACCACAAACGTTGGTGCTTTTTTATTCTATCAGCTAAGTCCTTATGGAAACGATACAGAGCAGCAGAGATGACATCCCCCAGCGGGCCCTTTATACTGAGTTTGAGCTCATTTGTCCCACAAGTTAAAACCATTCCTAAATGAGGCCTGTGCTATACCAGCAGCAGCTTTTGTTTTGTTTTGTTTAGAGACAGGGTCGTGCTCTGCTGTCCAGGCTGGGATTACAGGCATAAGCCTCTGTGCCAGCTACTTCATCACTTTTGGCATGGAGATACTGTTTCAGACTTCCTGGCACCTTGGAGCTTAATCCAGGAACCTTGTCCAGGCTGTAACCGAAGTCTTTGTGTTGAGATAAGAGAAATTTTATTACTCCCTTAGGTCGGAACAATTAGCTAGATAATGATTACAGCTCTATGCACAGAGACCAG